TCCAGCAACTTTGTTTTTGTAACATCAAGTTCTTACCTCTTGACTTCACTTGAAAGGATTTTAAATCCACTTTGAAACTCTGATTGATCAGATAAACTGCATCTTGGACGTGACTCCGTAAGTTTTTTGACTTTATCTGTCCATTGATTGTAAGTTCATAGTCAACTGTGTTTTTATTTCTAGTCAATATAAAATTTTAAAAAGTATTTTTAATGCACATATATAAGAATAAAGAACAATGAAGGTGATTTTAGTTCCTTAGAAATTGGGAAGAGCTGCTTTAACACTAACAAGCTGTGGTGCCCAGACACCTCAGGTGGACATTATATCGGTATACATCTATTGAGATCATTTTGCTCAGATAAGACTCTAAGGCTGTTTATCTACTGGCTCAGGGCATCCGCCATTGAACCTCCCACACCAACCCTCACGGTTAGATCCAGAACCTGTCTCCTATGTTCCCCCAGGACTTAACATTCCTCACAATACAATTCAGAAGTGTAAAACTATTGTTGCCACCTGTTTTGATGCTAGGTTTTATTTTTAAAGGTAGAATTAATAAATGCCTTTGCTGTTTCCACAGCCCCATCCAATCCCAATCACTCCTTCTATCCACTATTCAGGTGGTTGAGTGGTTAGCAATCAGGATATAATTGTACAATTGAATTGAATTGAGTTCAATAACTTCAGATCATGAGTACTGTCCTACCATTTGATTTTTGTTTTGCCAGATGTCTGTCTGTATCTTGTTTTCATGTTTTTATTTTCATGCATATCTATACTTTATTCTTCCATTTACACCTATTAGCAAATATGGATTTGGTGGCAGTGAATACTACAAAACAACCCATAACACCAGAAGACCTGGAGAAATAAGTGAAGTGGGCTGTTTGGCCTCTCAATCCTGTTCTGCTATTCAAAAGTATTGTGGCTGATCTGACGTTCCTCACATCTACTTGCCCGCCTTTTCCCTGCAACCCTTGATTCCCTGATTGATCAAGAATCTACCTGCCTCAGCTGCAAATATACACATGGACTCTGCACCCACAGCTCTGTATGACAGAGTTCCAAAGACTCACAACTCTCTGAGACAAGAAATTCCTTCTTATGTCAGTCTTAAATTGGCACCCCTTAATTCTGGACTATTCCCTCTGATCCTAGACTCTTCCATGAGGGGAAACATCCTCTCAACAGTCCCTTAAGAATCATATCTGTTTCAATTCTTCTAAATTTCAATGAATAGAGTCCCAATCTACTTAACCTCTTCACATAAGATAATCACTCCATACAAGGGATCATTGTAGTGAGCCTCTCTGAACTGCCTCCAATGAAATGATATTTTCCCTTAAATAAGGGGAACAACACTGCTCACAAAACTCCATATGTGTTCTCCCCAGCACCTTGTACAGTTGCTGTAAGACTTCCCTACTCTTATATTCCAAACCCATCGAAATAAATGCGAACTTTCCATTAGTGGAGTTCAGATGAAGAAACATCTGAGAACTAGGAATGCAAAATTAATACAAAACATACAAATATTATCCAATAATAAACAGCCTGTAAGCAACTAAATTAGCTCTAAATGTGTTTTATCTGAGGAAACAATTGTCAAAGAGATAAAAGCTAAAAAAAATCCAGCAACGACTGTCAAAAAAGATATCACAATCCTCCCACTTACTACAGACTAAGGGGGTGGCCATGGGTACCCGCCTGTGCCCAAGCTATGCCTGCGTCTTCATAGGATACATGGAACAATCCCTCTTCCAAAGCTACACTGGCCCTATCCCCCACCTCTTCCTCCACTACATCGATGACTGTATCGGCTCTGCCTTGTGCTCCCACAAGGAGCTCGAACAGTTCATCAACTTTACTAACATCTTTCACTTCAACCTCAAGTTCACCAGGACCATCTCTGATACCTCTCTCTCCTTCCTGGACCTCTCTGTCTCCTTCTCTGGTAAGTGCCTTAAAACTGGCATCTATTTCAAGCCCACCGACTCCCACAGCTACCTGGACTACACCTCCTCTCACCCACCTTCCTGCAAGAATGTGATCCCGTACTCCCAATTCCTCTGCCTCTGCTGCGTCTGCTCCCAAGATGGGGCTTTCCACTTCCAAACACCCCAGATGTCCTCTTATTTCAAGGACTGTAACTTCCCCCCTCCGGTGATCGAAAGTGCCTTCAACCGCATCTCTTGCATTTCCCGCGCCTCTGCCCTCACATTCCCTCCCCCCAACAAAAATAAAGACAGAATCCCCCTTGTCCTCACATATCACCCCACTAACCTCCGGATTCAACGTATTATTCTCTGCCACTTCTGCCACCTACAATCCGATCCCACAACCAAACAGATATTTCCCTCTCCGCCCCTATCTGCCTTTCATAGGGACCGCTTTCTCCATGACTCCCTCGTCTGCTCCACACTTACCACTAACTCCACCACCCCCGGCACCTTTCCCTGCAACCGCAGGAAGTGCTACACCTGCCTCTACACCTCCCCCTTCACCTCCATTCAAGGCACAAAACAAACTTTTCATATCAGACGGAGGTTCACCTGTACATCCATCAACTTGGTCTACTGTATCCACTGCTCCTGATGTGGCCTTCTCTACATTGGTGAAACCAAGGGGAGACGAGAAGACTGTTTTGTAGAGCATCTACGCTCTGTTTGTGGCAAACGACAACATCTTCAGGTCGCCAACCATTTTAACTCCCCCCTCCCACTCCCTGGATGACATGTCCATCCTGGGCCTCCTCCAGTGTCACAATGACATCACCCGGAAACTGGAGGAGCAGCATCTCATATTCTGCCTCGGAAGCCTACAGCCTAATGGCCTAAACATGGATTTCACCAGTTTTAAAATCTCCCCACCCCGGCCTCATCCCAGGACCAACCCTCCCTTTCATCCCCGACTCCTTGACCTGACACAACCTGTCCATCTTCTCTCCCACCTATCCGCCCCACCCATCCCACTGATCAATCCCCACCACTGACCAACCTGCGCTCGCCTATCGTCATTCCACCCACCTTCCCCAGCCCCACCCCTCCTCTATTTATTTTGGAGCTCCCTTCCCTGAAGAAGGGTCCCGACCTGAAATGTCAACTTTTCTGCTTCTCTGATACTGCCTGGCCTGCTGTGTTCCTCCAGCTCCACACTGTGTTATCTCACATTGGAATGAACGCATGTTTTGTACCCATTAAACTTAATCCAATTATTAAAACAATTACCGAATCTGAAGTGTTTTGACACAGCGGAAACCAATCAAGTTGCTGTAAGAACTGGCAAGCTGCAAACAGTGAAAATACATGAAAGTTACTTTCAGGAATGCAGTTCAAATCTTTCTATTCCCTTGTACAATCAACAAAAGGGATTTATCAGATTGGGAAGGGTGTGTGTTTTAAAGAATGGACGAATAGGAAAGTAGCAAGGCTGCGAACTTTTTGTAAGCTTTGACCATTGAGAAAGAGGCAACCGCCAATAATAGCTGCCCCAGACCTTGGTCCCATCATTGTCTATACTTTATAAATAGTTGTGAATCCCACTCATCTCATTGCCCTTGCCAACCATATTGAGCTTCAAACAAGCTCAATCGACCGTTAATTATTTAATTACATATGGTGGGTGGGCTGCCAATTTTTGGATGTAGTTTAGGGTGGGTGATTGGGAAAGAGGTGGGTTTACCACACCTCTTATATTGCATTACAGCCTTACATAGAAAAGTGCCTATTGGTGGGCACGTAATATCCAGCTCAGAATTAATATCTTGAGTCAAATATGACTTCTTCACAACTGAAGGGGGTAGAAATGTGATAGGCTTTACACCATTGAAAGGAATACATCCCCACTGATCAGGGCTGCCTTGAGTCCATTAAACTGACCAGGTGACCATTGATTGGCTGGAGGCAGGACCTCTAGCTTTCACTTGGTCACATGTCTTGCCCCACATCAATGCACCAACACACTTGGCTCATAGCTCTGCAGTCAAAGTGATGCCACTGGGAGTGTGGTCACTGCTGGGTGACAAGATGTTCCTGGAGTCAGGGTGTTGGAACACAGGAATGTCCAAGGTCTTTTGATGCGGTTGAGAGAGGTGTAGGAGGTAGGAGTGTTGGGGTTGTGATGGATCAGGCAGATAAGGAGGAAGTACCTGGGCCTTGGGTTAAGGTAGAGAGGACTTTAGGCTGTTTAGGTGGGCAGTGTCGAGGAGGGATGTGATAAGGTGGAAGGGGGTTCCTGTTCTCGAAAAAGAAAAAAAAATGGAAACAAAATGTGGCAGATCAATGCTGTCAGTCATTGAGAAACCCCCTAAGAGCAGATCTAATTTCAGGCTGAGATCATATCAAGGAAATGGAAATGTATGCAACAAAAGTTGTATTGAAAACTTGGGGCCTTTAATTTTCATAAAAACCAAGCAAAGCAAAGTTTTGATGTATAATCTCATTTTGAAGCTGTTCGCTCAGAATGTAAAACCATTCCCATGACTGATCATTACTACATTTAGGGAAGACTTCAATCATCGGGCCTGTATGAAGTTATGAATTTTGGATGAACCTTTAAACTAATGATAGGTATCACAAAGATTGTAACATTTATCAAAATTAGCCAACTTAAATATTTGAAATAACAACTGAAAGGAAAAGAAATCTTCCACTATTAACATTCTAACACTGGACATTATGCATATTTAGGACATTTCTGATTTTCTTGATTCAGTCTGACTGTGGAACTATCAAATAGTTCAGCGCGTATAATCTTTCATTTTATCAGTTTTTTTTTCCTTATGCACCAACTAAGTCTAATCCATTCACTCCATCAGAAATTTGAGGTATCTGTCAAAATGGTAGATATGTCAAGATTAGTCGTTTAAAACTATAATTTCCGAATGAACTATTTAGGCAGTAGACAATAACTTGTCAGCAATATGCATAAGAATTGGTTATATTTATTTCTCAGAGCTAAATTGTACTGTGAAATACATACGATTGTGGTCAGATTTGTCTTAAGTTCTTCAGTAGAATATATTGCTTCATTTGGATCTTCATCAGCAGGAGTTACATTGAGTTTAAATGAACCTGTTGCCTTGACTGTAAAGATACAATGGAACAAATATCAGCTTTTTTAAATGACTGTTTTTGTTGCCAAACAGAATTCAGGCAGAACTTGCATGCCTCAAATCCTTGACCCCATTCCACCATTTGAGTAAAACAGAATTATTATTTTATTTGGTTCATAATTCTATGCTTGAGCTATTTATCCCTCCATAACAACTGGGAGGTTCAATCCATTAGAACAATCTGGAAAAAAATCGAGTATTGGTAAAGGTGATCATGCAAGTAAGCGATTGTTGTCAAAATCCATTGGATTCACAAATATCCTTTAGGGATAGAAATCCACTGTCCTTACTTGATCTGGCCTATGAGTGATCTCCGATCTTGCAGCAGTATGCTTGATTATTAAGTGCTCTCGGAAATGGCCTAGCATGCCACTCACTACCACCTACACCACCCTGGCAGCTAGGGATGGGCGAAAGGTGCTGGCCTTGCCTGTAATGTCCACACTCATGAATTTACATACCTATAAAAAGGAAATGTGGTGAAGTATATATGTACAGAGTTTGCTCGAGGCTTTCCCATTAGAGTATCCAAGGTTAGAAGAAGGCTAAGTAATTGAAATTCTTTTATAACACTTCAGTCACGTTTCCGTAAATTGAAGAATACAATCATAAGGGCAAGGGGAGGAGAGAGGAGTCTTTGGAATGGAGTGTGGAATGAATCTCCAGCACAGTTCAATTCATCAGCCATGATTTTGGCATACATTTTTTAAAAAAAGGGGTTTCCTTTTTTCTTTTGCCATAGTTTTTTTTAAAAGAAAATCATTTGTGGGACGAGGACATGGCTGGATAGGCCAGCACTTATTGTCCATCCCTAATTACCTAGAGGGCAATGAAGAGTCAGCCACATTGTTGTGGGTCTGGAGTCACGTGTAGGCCAGACCTGGTAAGGATGGCAGTTTCCTTCCCTAAAGGACATTAGTGAACCAGATGGGTTTTTCCAACAATCAACAATGGATTTATGGTCATCATTAAACTCTTATTTTCAGAAGTCTATTGACTTGAGTATTGAGAATTAAGGTGTGATCTAATTGGTGTATCTAACGTCATTAAAGGATTTAATAGCGCAAATAATAAAAAAAATTGTCAGGGTTTTTGAGGTGGGGAAGATTTTGGAACAAGGGGTCATAACCATAAAATTGGAGATAAGCCATTTGGGAGTGATGATCAGAAGCACTTCTTCATACAAAGTAGTGGAAATCTAAAACTCCCTCCCCAAAAACCCTGTGGTTTTGAAATCTTCAATACTGACACATTGTTTTATTATTTTCATGGGATTTGAGCATTGCTGACACAGTTGCACAAGTTACTCATCCCTAACACCTTTGAGAGAGCAGTGGTAAACTACTTTTTTAACAGTTGCAGTTCATTTGACTTAGGTCCAACAAGAGGGAGATTTATGATAGAATTATGTTCAGTCAGAGTATTCAGTTATGAAGCTAAGGCAGGTAATAGGAGCTGAAACATGAAGCAACTACCATCTAATTAACTGGTGAGTTAAGCTCGAATTGCTGAATGATCTACTCCTATTCCTATGTTACTATTCCCAGGTTCCTATGGTCAGTGCTTAAGCAGGAAAACTCTAACAGAAATTCACTCCCACTGAATTTGCTAGCACTGCAGGATTCCACTTGGCTCATGGCACTAGTGGAATTCGCTGAAAATGCATTCCAATTATTCTTTTCATATTTATCATTTTTTTTCTAAATATTTCCATTAAGCATTTGAAAATTTTCAGGGGTTTGTGGGTGATTTAGATAAGACAAGGGAATGGGCAAGTGCATGGCAGATGTAGTATAATGTGCATAAGTGAGGTTGTCCACTTGAGTAGGAAAATCAGAATGACAGAGTATTAATTAAATGGCGATAGGTTGGGAAAGGTTAATGTGCAAAGGGACCTGGATGTCCTTGTGTACTAATCATTGAAAACAAGCACACAGGTGTAGCAAGCATTTAGAACCATAGAGTCATAGAGCATGGAAACAAGCCCTTCGGTCCAATTCGTCCATGCCTACAAACTAACCTAGTCCCACTTGCCTGCATTTGGCCCATATCCTTCTAAACCTTTCCTATCCAAATGTCTTCTAGATATTGTAACTTTACCCACATCTACCACTTCCTCTGGCAGTTTATTCAACACACGAACCACCCTCTGTGTGAAAATGGTCCCTTTTAAATCTTTTTCCTCTTACCTTATAAATATGCCTCTAATTTTGAACTCCCCTGCCCCAGGTAAAAGGCCTTTGCTATTCACCTTATCTATGCCATTCAAGCAAATAATGCAGTGGCCTTTATTGGAAGAGGGTTTGAGTACAGGAGCAGGGAAGTCTTACTGCTGCTGTACATGGTCTTGATGAGACCACTCCTGGAGTATTGAGTACAGTTTTGATCTCCTTATTTTAGAAGAACTATACCTTCCATAGAGAGAGTGCAGTGAAAATTCAATGGACCACGTCCAGGAAATAGTATGTTTGCCGTATAAGGAGAGATTGGGTCCAGTGGGCCTGTATTCACTGGGGTTTAGAATGAGAGGGATTTCATTGAAATATATGAAATTTTGACAGTGTTGGATAGAGTGTTTGCAGGGATGAGGTTTCTTATGACCGGCGTGGGGGGGAGGGATTGGCAGAGCAGGGAGGAATCCAGAACAAGGAGCCGTGCTCTCAGAATATGCGAGAAGCCGTTGAGTTAAGGAGAAATTTCTTCACTCAGAGGGTGGTGAGCCTGTGAAATTCTCTACCACAGAAGGCTGAGGTGGCTGAGCACCTGAACATATTTATGAAAGAAACAGATAGATGCCACCGCATTGAATATAGGAGTTGGGAGGTTATGTTGCAACTCCAAAGGACATTGGTTAGGCCACTTTTGGAATACTGCATTCAGTTCTGGTCTCTCTGCTATAGGAAAGTTGTTATGAAACTTGAAAGGGTTCAGAAAAGACTTACAAATATGTTGCCAGGGTTGGAGGGTTTGAGCTATAGGGAGAGGCTGAATAGGCTGAGGTTTTTTCCCTTGGAGCGCTGGAAGCTGAGGGGTGACATTATAAAAGTTTATAAAATCACGAGGGGCATGGATAGGGTGAATAGTCAAGGTCTTTTCCCCGGGGTAAGGGAGTCCAAAACTAGAGGGCATACATAGATTTAAGGTGAGAGGGGATAAGTGTAAAAAGGATCCCTACTGGGCAACTTTTTCACACAAAGGGTGGTGTGTGTATGGAATGAGCTGCCAGGGGAAGTGGTGGAGGCTGGTACAATGACAATATTTAAAAGGCATCTGTAAGGGTATATGAACAGGAAGGGTTTAGAGGGATATAGGTCAATAGCTGGCAATTGGGGCTAGATTAATGTAGCATATCTGGTCGGCATGGACAAGTTGGACTGAAGGGTCTGTTTCTGTGCTTTACATCTATATGACTGTATGAATGTATGTTTAGAACTAAAGGTGTCAGAGGGTATAGGAAGAGAACAGGGGATGGTGTTGAGCTAGAGGACCAGTCATGATCATGTTGAATAGCGGAATGGGCTTAATGGGCTGAATGTCTTATACAATGTACGTGATACTGGTGTTGTTTAATTGTATCAGCTTGAGACTAACGATGTATATAAAGGAAATGAATTCCGGTTGACACTTTGTCATTGTCTTTTCACATGTTTTCAGTAAAGGACCAATTATTCCTCTCCTCATTTACTGTTTAGCATATAATTATTATTTGAAAAATTGGGAAGAACGGTTTTCTCAAAATAAAAAGCAAAGTGAATTTGAGAAATTGTGAATTTTTCTGAGACTACTCATCAGCAAGCAGTGCTTAAGCATTTGAGAGGGCAAAGGCAAAGGCTTGAATGATAAATTCTCCAGTGTAATAGAGTCAATACAAACACAGCTGCACTCCTTGTGTGTCATGATGCAGATTGGAACAGATTCAATAAACACAGAGAAATAGACAGACATGGAGCTCAATTTCATTCCCCACCCCAGGGTTTTGGAAGGATGACGTTTAAAATAGGTCAGTGATTAGCCCTGTGTCTTCCAAACAACCTCCTCTAGGAGGTGGGTAACATGCCTACTGGTCTACCTACCTTTAGGATATTGAGGCCTTTAACAACACATTAATTGGACACATAAGGGCTTAATTCCATCTTTGCCAACATAAAATGTTGGCTGGTGGATGAGAGACTAGAAATTACTGGTTATTTTTTTCACCAGCTTTGACCACTGTGAATTGGTGATGAAGGGACTGAATGTTTAGATTGATGGATGTGGTGCCCATCAAAGTGGGTTGCTTTGTTTTGGGTAATTTGAGTTTCTTGAGATTCCTCGGAGCCACACTCATCCAGGTGATTACAGCATATTCCACAATATTCCTGACTTGTCCCTTAAAGATGGTGCATAGGCTTTTTGGACCAGCAGGAAGCTTAGTCACCTCAGAATTTCCAGTCTCTAACCTGGTTGTGTAGCCAGAATATTCAGGTGGTTGATCCATCAGAAAAAAGTTTTAAATATGTTTTGCATTCTCTCTCAGAAATATTTGCATGGAAGCACATAACATACCATCATCATTGTCACAAACTTCACTCTAATCTGAATAATGCAGCCTCAAGTAAAACCAACATGGGAGTTGCCGTCATTAGTTTAAATATCAGCAAAACAGCTCATTGTTCTGAAGCTGTTCACAATGCCAAAGCTTTGATAAAATACAAATCAATATAGGATGTAGAAAATACTCATCTTGTTGTTCATGATATATTTAGAAATTCTTTGTTGCCAAAAACATCTACTCTCCGACCAAACAGTATAATTAATGGCTTGGATGACATATTTTGTATACTGACATATTGTGAAACAATCTGCACTGTATCTGCAAATATGTTGTTGATCAATGTTTATTCCTTGCTACTTATAATTGCCATTGATCACTGAAACTGAGAAACTTAATATAAAGTAAAGGTAGTGGCCTAGTGGTATTATCACTGGACTATTAATCCAGATACCATTCTGAGGTTCACTGGTTCAAATCCCACCATAGTGGAATTTGAATCCAATAAAATATCTAGAATTAAGAATCTAATGATAACCATAAATCTTTTGCCGATTGTCAGGGGGGAGAAACAAACCCATCTGATTCACTAATGTTCTTTAGGGAAGGAAACTGCCATCCTTACCTGGTCTGGTCTACATGTGGCTCCAGACCCACAGCAATGTGGTTGACTGTTAACTGCCCTCTGGGCAATAAATGCTGCCTGGTCAGCAACACACTCATCCAATGAATAAAGAAAAATTCAGTTAAAAGTGAGCTCAAAGCTCAAGCAAATGAATAAACAGCATCAAAGCTGTTTTTGAGTTTCTATTTTAATGTTAGAAAAAGCAAAGTTTGAGTGACCAGTTATCCCTGGGTATAATTACCATTGAAGAAGCAGCAAGGTATTGGAGGCCTTAACAGTGGTCAGTCAATGCTATTTTGAACCTGCCGTGCAGTTTGATGGGTGAAGCAGTGTCTGAAATAAATGGCATGTCTCTTTTAGCTTTTCAGTGTGTTATGACTCACCGATCAGCTGCATGCTTGACAGATCTGGACCAGCCCAGCATTTGAAAATTGTAAATTGTTTTTGTCAGGCTAGGAGGAGTAAGAATGCCCTTCCATAAATAATGTAGTTTGCTGCTGTTCTGAACTGGACCTCTCGCCTCAGTTTTTCTGACACCTCCTCCATCTCCCACCTCTGGGTTTTTATTTAATTCATTCACGGGATGAGGGTGTCACTGGCTAGGCCAGCATTTATTACCAGTCCCAGAGGGCAGTTAACAGTCAATCATATTGTTGTGGGTCTGGAGTCACATGTAGGCCAGACCAGACAAGGATGGCAGCTTCCTTCTCTGAAAGACATTAGTGAACCTGATGGATTTTTCCTGACAAATTGCAATGGTTTCATTAGGCTCTTAATTACAGATTTTTAAAAAAAATTCAATTCAAATTCCACCATCTGCCATGATGGGATTTGAACCCAGCACCCCAGAACATTCCTGGCATTAGTGACAATACCACTCGACCATTGCCTCCCCTAAAATAATATATGAATAATTAGGTCAATTAATAAAAGATTGGCTTGATGTGCACCTCAAAGTAATTTATCAGCAGACAGGAATCATGCAATTGTAAGAGGTTTTATTAGGAACTGGATATCAGTGATCTGCTAGGTTGGTGACTATGAAGTGAGGCATTCAGATTGGGAGTCTTCTGGTGATCAGATAGGCATTGGGGAAGACAGAGACAATCTGTGGAGAAGGGTATGCTGAGATAGCTTCACACCGAGAATGTACTGGCCCATAAAAATCAGGCCTTAGTTCCATAAAGCTGATAAACCACAATGCAGACAGGATGGCAGCAAACACAAGTGGCTCACAACAATGCCAAGGAGCGAGGAGGGGTACTTGCTTGCAGAGTTTTCTGGAATGGCCTACACAATAAAAGCTTTAACTCTAACATGGGTTCAAGAGCCACTCCAAGAACAACTGCAACAATATGCATTTATAAAACTGCTTTAAATGTCCCAAAGTGCTGGAGCATGATCAGCCAAATTTTGCCAGAAATCCAAATAAGGAGTTATTAGGTTTGGAATACAAGTGCTTGGTCAAACAATAGGTTTTAAGCAGAAGATTAGAAGGGGAAAGAAAGGTTTAATCAGGGACTTGAAGAGCTTAAAGCCTAACTGAAGCCACAGCAGTGATGGAAATTGGGAAATGCACAAGACACCAGATTTGGAGCAGTGTCAGAATCTCAAAGGACTCCGAGCTGGAGGAGGACACAGCAAGGCGGGTGTGAGACAATGTAAGGATTTGAAGACAAGGATGAAATTTTAAAATGGAAGTGTTGACAGGCAGGAAACTAATGTAATCAGCAAGCATGGGGTGGCAGGTGATGATATGAACTATGGTGTGGGCAGCAGACAAATGTGGGTAAGTAAATGCCAGTGGAAGCTGGGAGGTCAGCTCCAAGACCACTGGCACAAACAGCATTGACCATATGATTCACATGCCAGTGTACTTCAGTGTAACATTGTAAGAAGGTATCCTGTGCATCGGGGAAACCAAGCGGAGGCTTGGAGACCGCTTTGTGGAGCACCTATGCTTGGTTCGTGACAAACAACAACCCCTCCTGGTCACGAACCACTTTAGATCCTCCTTCCACTCCTTGGACGACATGTCCATCCTGGGCCTCCTCCAGTGCCACAACAATGCCACCCGAAGGCTGGAGGAACAGCACCTCATATTCCGCTTGGGAACCCTGCAGCCCAATGGTCTCAATGTGGTCTTTACAAGCTTCAAAATCTCCCCTTCCCCGACTGCATCCCAGCTGGTCCCCTCCTCCTTGACCTGTCTGTCTTTTCTCCCACCTCCCCGCCCCTCCCTCCTCACTGACCAATTCCCATCCCAACTCCCTACCTACACTCACCTTTACTGGCTTCATCCCCACCTCCTTGACCTGTCTGTCTTCTCTCCATCTATCCACTCCTCTATCCACCTTCCATCATTGCCTCCCCCTCTCTTTATTTATTTCAGAGCCCCCTTCCCCTCTTCCATTTCTGAAGAAGGGTCCAGACCCGAAATGTCAGCTTTCCTGCTCCTCTGATGCTGCCTGGCCTGCTGTGTTCATCCAACTCTACACCTTGTTATCTCAGACTCCAGTATCGGCAGTTCCTACTATCTCATTGTAAGAAGTATTGTTTTTCAGTTAAGAGATTAACTGCACATTGATCTACTGCCCTAAGTGTTTGCATTTTAATCAAATAAAATAATCAATTTCAGGGGAGGCAATGGTTTAGTAGTATTATTGCTGACTGTTAATCCAAAGACCCAGGTAATGTTCTGGGGTCCTGGGTTTGAATCCTGCCATGGCAGATGGGGTAATTTGAATTCAATAAAAATCTGGAATTAAGAGTCTAATGGTGGCCAACTTTCAGAAAAACCCATCTGGTTTACTAATGTCCTTTAGGGAAGAAGACTGCTATCCTTACCTGGTTTGGTCTACACGTGACTCCAGACCTACAGCAATGTGGTTGTCTGTTAACTGCCCTAAGGGCAATTAGGGATGGGCAATAAATGCTGGTCTAGCCAGTGATGCCTACATCCCATCAATGAATTTTTTTAAAAAAGCAGTTTTTAAAGCATGTTAAATAGATGTTACAAATCTGTAACCTGGACTTTCAGTTCAGTTGTGCTTCAGAAGTGAGGAATTTTAAACACACATTACCACATTTTCTATCTGTAAAGATGCTTACAACAGTACAACATTCTATCAGAGATACCTTTGTCCAGTTATTTGACTTCTTAATTTTTTCCACTGCTAAATTATTTTCATCAAGTGTATGCAAATGATAAACCAGTACATTATTTAATTTTTATTGAGAAAACAAAACCAAATCTGAGACTTGCTGAATTTCACTGTAAAGGTACAACTAGATTTAAAAACAAATTTTTTTTATTTCAAAAATTATTCTTCGCTGTTCAAAGAATAGAATGAATTACCTTCCATCGTTAGAATTTTGACATTTTCTGGGCAGAATTCAATTTCATCCATATAAAGATGACTACAATTAGTGTCGCAGGGCATTTCTGAAGATTGTAGACTGTACTTTGTATTGTTCTGCATGTCTTCATCAAAGCAGATGCATTTTGCATTATTGTCAAAATAATTGCATTCTAAACAAATATAATGAATAGTCAATTACTAAAATTGTGAACATTTTGGAAACAGTTTCTATTAAAAAGCATGATTTTGGCAATTTAAAATTCTATCAGAAATATTTTCATACTGTTAAGATAACTAGTTTAAACCCCAGTATTCTAGAGACATTCTTAACCCTTAATTCCAAAATGTGCTTTTTCAAAGAGGGCTGCTACAGAGATGAACTAACTGCAGGTGTAAATTTGGTGGCTGTCAGAAATCCTGTCTGGGGCTGATGGAATGAAATACCTAAAAGTGTCAAAGAAACTTCAAACAGATTGGAGTGTGAACTCTTGTGGTTACAACGATGATAAGGGGCTGACAACCCCTGTTCAACAGTAAGCTTCTCTCCTGTGTGAATTATGTCCCAAACTTGGCCCCTTTTTAATTTCTATATGTTCAAGGTTTTTTGCTAATTTCTATCAAGGTGAGAGATGCTTGTGCTGGGATTGGAACCTTTTTTGACATTTGAGATCTAATGTCTGCATTTGTTGACACTCAGCAATCAGGTCAAGCTCCTCCTACACTATGTTGCCATGGTGTTTTATTCTATCTGCTGTTTGAAATTAATCATGACACTTTTTCATATGTTCACAGTTAAAAATGGACAGATAGGAATTTAACGCAAATATATTTAGTTGCAAATTAAATATGCATGTAGACATAACATAAGCCTGACAATTTAGTATCACCGAATTGCAGAGGTTTTTATGCTGTTTCCATGAAAGAAGCAGCTCATTTACATTTTGTGTGAAAGTTTTACAGCTAAAAGAGACCAGTGCCTTTTCTTTTTTGATATGAGCTGAATTTGATGCCAAGTTCATACAGGTCAAAAAACAAGATATTTAAATAACCTGCCATTCCACCATTTTATGTCAATCATAAAATCCCTACAGTGTGGAAGCAGGCCACTCGGCCCATTGAGTCCACACTGACACTCTGAGGACCAGCCCACCCAGACCCACCCCGACCCACCCCACCCCACCTTCCTCCATCCCCATGACACTGTATTTCCCACAACTAATCCATCTAGCCTGCACATCCCTGGATACTATGGGCAATTTAGCACAGCCAATCCACCTAACCTGCAAACTTCGGACTATGGGAGCACCCAGCGTAAACCCACACAGACACAGGGAAAATGTGTAAACTCCATACAGACAGAAGATGGAATTGAACCTAGGTCCCTAGCATTGTGAGGCAGCAGTGCTAATCATTGAGCCATAGATGGCAATACTGATTGGTCATAGTGCTTGATTCATCAATAATGGCAAGGCATAAACTGAGGATAATGACAGGAAAAGACAGGTTGGACAGACTCTTTCACATAGCGGTGGTTGATACATGCAATGCTTCACCACAAGTAACTCTAGAGGCCAAAAAGAAGGTATCATTTAGTTGGGAACTGAAAAAGGAAGAATATGAAGAAATACCAGAAAAAGGGGAGTATGACCGAGATCAGAAGATATATCTTCAGTCAAACAGTCACTTCCAGTACAGGCATAATGGACCAAAATCCCTGAGATTTCAATTGTTCTATTTCTTCACCATCTATGGTTCACATTGGCAGAAGGATCTCTGCCAGGGGCCACATGTAAGATAGCATTCTTGGAATGTGACAAAGCAATGGAGTGCTAGTATTACTGGACTGGTGAGCCAAAGGCCAGAGCTAATGTCTTGAAAACATGGGCCTGGGTTTTTGTCAAGTCGGGAGTCCTTTAAAAACAGCAGATGAATACAATCCCAGGATTCCTGCCCACATTTCCCCAACAGTCTTTGGGTTGGGTGTCAGAATGCACATAGCTCTTCTGAAGGGTTGGGAAGTTCAAACCTCCTTGGAATTTTGTTAGAACCAGTTCCATTCTATCGGGTAGAGATGGTTTACAGTATTTCATAAGAGTCCTGGCATGAGATAGCCCTTGACTTGGTGGGGAGCCCAAACAAAAAAGACATTCAACATTCCCATTCTTTAACCTTCTCAGAAATCTGTCAATCATAGGCATTCAAATTATCAATATCAGAAGCTTTGACCCATATCAGACCTATTCATGTTATGTAAAACAGTGAAAAAAAATTCTTCAAATAAATAGCATGTTCATATAAAGCAATAGTGCTGCCAAAGTTTTCAGTAACTTCTGCACCTGTACAAACATCGCTTGCTGAGATCCAAGATCATTATCCATTCTTGGAGATCAGCCAAACATTCATAATGAGGTACAAAAACAAAAGTTGCTGGAAAAACCCAGCAGGTCCGGCAGCATCCGCGAAGAGAAACTGAAGCCAACATTGGCAACTCTCAGTTCTGATGAAGGGTCTTCAGACCCGAAGTGTCAACCCTGACCTCTCCCCACTGATGCTGCCAGACCCACCGAGCCCCTCCAGCAACCCCCATCCTGTTTCTAATTTACAGCATCCACAGTTCTCTTGGTTTTTATTCATAATGAGGTCATCTATTCAGCCTGTTTTGGATGAAATTTTTCAGTTCAGTTTAAATTCACACCCTTACCACATATCTCTATGCTAACTCCTCCAACACATAACCCTGCTTTCTCAAGACTTTGACTTTATTATGAAGGTAAAGGGATTTACCTTCATTTGGTACAACCTGAAATAACCTGAACCAAAAATCCAAAGAATTGCCGATGCTAGAAATCAGAAACAAAAACAGAAATTGCTGGAAAAGCTCAGCAAGTTTGGCAGTCTCTGTGGAGAGAACGTAGAACTAATGTTTCGAGTCCAGTGACCCTTCTTCAGAACAGAATGTTCTAAAATTGTTTATAAAATTACCTGAGCTAGAGCAAGAAAACATTTGTGGGATAATGTGTGAGATTTGTTGTCATTCCTAGTGTATTAATACAGGATACCAGTGAATGAACATACTGTACTGTTAGAAGCAACTTATGTAATGATTAATCTTTAAAAACTATACGCAATTTTCAGCAGTCCTTTTTTTATAGATTAAGGTGCTGTCTTTGTAATGTCCAAATTACAGGTGAAATGTTCCATTTTCAGCTAAAGTGTTTTTCTCATGTGATTCATGGCGCACATTTTGTCTTTCTCATTAAACCATCTGTTCTCCATCTCATTAATTTTGCAAGTGACCACTTCTCATAGAATTGCACAGTAGGAGAATTGGAAATACTCACCACTGCCAGATTGTCTGGTGTTCATGCCTCGGTGCTATGTTTGAAGCCCAGCCACGCAGCACTTCAGATGCTACAAACCAAGAACTGCCTTTCACACTGTCCTGCCCGATCATTACAGCACAGAGGGATATAAATCTTTCATCTCACTTTGTGGACATGGACCACAAGGTGTTGGTGGTGTTGGTGGATGTGATGGTGGAGAGGAGGTAGTCCTGCAGATCGTGGACAGGAGTCTACCCCACCAGACCAAGCCAGCCTAGATCTAGAGAGCAGCCTGGATCAGTGCTGTTCCCTGAGTCAGGAGAGATACCCAGCAGTGCAGGAATAAGTTCAATGATTTAGCTGTGCAAAGCTAACTGCTTCCATCTTCTCTCTTTCTGTAGCCTCACACTCAAAGGGCTACCTCTCACTCTAACTCTGCCAATGAAGATGCTTCTCTCCAAGGTTCATGGACTAGAGCTCTTCCTAGTGCATATATCATATCAATTCAATGGCTCCCACTCACCTCGCACTCCCAAACTACTAACCCTTCCTTTCTTTGGTGCTTCCTATCCCCTCACTGGGAACAACTCACCACCTTTCCTGTCTCTGCATCACCACTAACTGCTGTTCAATCCACTTCCAAGACATTCAATCCATCCCTTTGTCTCATTGCAAGAAAAATTGACATATAAGCAAGCGAGAGGTCCACCATCAGTGGAAGAGTAGTGAACATTAGGCTCTTCATTCCATGCAAGAAGTTTCTTAAATTATCTGCAGAAAAGAGTAACTATTTGTGTAGGGATTAGGTGACGTTAATGGATAACAATTCAACATCTTTGAAAACTAATATGCTCCCTTCTCTAATGCAAGCAATAGCAGTATCCAGCAAACCAACAAAAGGAGGCTGAAGACCCTCAACTCCATCTCCAACTCTGAGGAGGAAGCCACTCAACCCTCATAAGATGCTCTGGCAAGACTTTTACCTGCACCCTCCACTAGTTCAGAGACTTTTACTTTAATAGACTCTCCAGCTAGGTTAGTCTCACGAGTACAATCCAGTGAGCACATCACTGACCTGCCTTGTCAAGGGAGAAAAGTCCAGATTACTGACACATGGAGAACTGCCAAAGACCAGGCACCTGGACAGCCCAGGCAGAAGATGATCCTATTGACCTTCAATGATTTTGTGAAACTCTACACACAGACACAGCAAAAGCAGGCAGGTATTTCAGATACAGTCGATAAGCTGAATTGAAGGATAGAGAAATCCACCAATGCTGTCAGTACCACACTGGTTTCGACATGCATGTGTCTGCCTGTTTTTTAAGGACAGGTTGTGTCCAGCACATTCAGTGTCTACTGGACATGTGCACAGACACGCCCTGCATCTCTATAGACAAAATTTCTCAGCGTCGATGGCAAAGCGAAAAGGGCATGAGGGACCTTGGCCAGGGCAACAGGGTGGAGCCAATGGGAATGTATGGGGAGGCTGAGCCGCACAGGACCCCCAGAAGCTTCCTCTCAGGACAGTTTAGCGGTACGTTGCCTCTCTACCTCCACCAGCTACTCCCGACTCTGCCAGAATCAATGAACAGCCCATTGATAAGTCCCAAACCTTCAGGGCTGACTTTGTACCACACCCAATCCCTGAACCTATTTCCCTACACCACCTTCTCCCACCCAGCTAACTACATGTCATCCATGGTTGCACTTAAGCTGTAGGATGGATCATGGCCCAATCCACTGACATCAAGAACCCAGACCTGCAGCTTCTGGTATGACTGAGCACCTGACTAACAATGCTCTACTCCCTGGACTGGACTCAGATCAACCTTTTGACTGACTGTGTTGGAGTGTTTGTTATCTAAACTGCTGGCACATGCTGCAGGGATGATGTCAATGTGGCATGGTACCACACAGTGACATGTTTACTCTCTTGACAGTTCAGAACACTTGAACATGACAAGCTGCTTGCCTTTCCCTCTATGCGAAAGAAAATTCAAGACACAAAGGCTGAACTGAACATATAAGGCCTTTTACGCTAAAAAGCAATGTGTCCCTCACAAAGATTGGTAGTCCATAAGTCAGTGCTCACAGCACACCAGGGAGGGAAGAATTCTAATCTATATTCTTTCCATACTTTGAAAATTTTCAGAATTGTTTCATGCCTTTGGGGACTCTACTGATTTGATATGGTAATGATCAATTAATCTGAGCAGTAACTTTCTTATCTTGTTCAACAGCCAGAATAATGTTGATAGGGAGCAAGCCAGCTGGTCTCTCTGCAGCGATTAATCAGCCATTAAGCCAGTAACTGGATTAATTAGGACATTACAAATTAGCATTTCATTGTCTGTGTTAATTGACACCTTGTCTTGTCAGCCAAGACCATATAATAAGACAAAGATGCTTAAAACTATGTTCTAGGGGACTGTAATGGTGCAGTGGTAGTGCCCAAGCTACTAGGCTATAAGTTCCCTGATTCAAGTCTGTCTTGCTCCAACAGTGTGTAACAATGCCTCTGAACAGGTTGATAAATAAATATAAGCTTCAGATATCAGAAACACATTCCACAGTTAAGAGTAGGAGACAAATCTTTCTAGCTGCCACATTGACATGCTTAACTGTAACTATGGAGGGTGAAATAACTTCACAGAAGCCAATATCCCAGCACCGAGTCACCCTTTATTTCTACATGAACGGTCCTTGCCTTTAGTATCTCTTCAGAGTCAAGCTGTCAGAGTGTCAGTATCACTGACACTCCCCTTTTTATCTGTTAGCCAGATTAATAGCCCCAATCAGGGAACTCATATTCTATGAGGCCCAGCTGGCTGACCTCATTACAATCACTACAGAAGACAGTCTCTTCTTTTCTGGAGTGTGCTATCACATTGGTTCACTGGCAGGATTGTACACCCCTAATGCAGCATGAACACTTTGGTTGTGCAATATATATTTTGTTAAGGTGACATACATCAATGTTTCTAATGGAGACACGACAATGACCTCCTTGGGGAGGCTCCATACCACAGTGTGAGGGCATAACATGAGGCCTCATTGTCATGGATGTGAGGACTCATGAGTTTCTTTAATAGAATTGACTTATTCTGAACTTCCCCACAGATTATCTGCATCTGACAGGGACATTGCAAAGTCCTTGTGGTCTTGCTTCAAATTAGAGGACAGTGAAGAAGGAGACAGCAACAACAAATCCACCAGCAAGCCCAGCAAGAACAATAACTTCCAGTGGCTGTACATCTCTATGACTCTATAGCTGGCATGTAGCCTGCAGACAGTAAAGCGTCAGGTGAAGATCCATTAAGGAGGTGGAGAATAATGATGAGACCCTGCTTCTACAGGCTTTGCTGGCATTTTTTTTGCAATGGTTTGAATGACATTGCAGGTACCAATTAATGATGTCCCACCTCATTATCACCATATTCTATCATTTACTGGTGCAGGACCTGTGCTCAGTGGGACTGGATGGCAACATCATCCCATTATCAAGGTCAGAGCTGCCCTGAATTTTTATGCCAATGATTTATTTCAAGGAGCAACTGGAAGCTTTTGTGACATTATCCAATTCTCAAACGACGTACACATCCAGGATGCAACGGATTCTATTTTCACCAGGTCACACTGTTTACATCCTTCCCCCACAATGAGGAGAGTCAAGCAGTCCAGGCAATGGGATTGTCCACGATCACTGTCTTCCCCCTGGTGCGGGGCACTATCAACTGAACCAACATTGCTTTGAAAGTGTCCTATCACAAACCTATAGAGTCTATCATCATAAAAGGCTTCCACTTCAACAACGTTCAACTTAGATACGGCTGTTGATGACAAATTTTGGAAGTTTGCTTCAGATATCCTGGGACCTGCCTAGAGAACTTGAGGGTCCCCTCACAGGAAAGGCAGTAGCATTGTGTTAGTGTCCCTGCACTAGCAATCCAAAATCCTATACTGATATTCTGGGAACATGTCTTGGAATTCCACCATGGCACCTGGTGACATTCTAAACCTGGAGCTAAAGATGAATCTAATGGTGACCATATAATGATTGTCATAAAAACCCATCTGGTTTTGCTAGCATCCTTTAGGGAAGGAAATCTGCCATCCTTATCTGGTCTGGCCTACATGTGATTTCAGACCCACAGCAATGTGGTTGATCTTTATTTATCTTTAGAAATGGCCTAGCAAGCACTCAGTTCAAATATTTAAGGAGGGGCAATAAATGCTGGCATACCCAGGGGCAACATGATGGCTCAGTGGTTAGCACTGATGCCTCACAGCGCCAGGGACCCAGGTTCGATTTCAGCCTCAGGTGACTGTCTGTGTGGAGTTTGCACATTCTTCCCACGTCTGCGTGGCTTTCCTCCGAGTGCTCTGGTTTCCTCCCACAGTCCAAAGATGTGCAAGTTAGGTGGATTGGCCAAGTTAAAGTACCCATTGTGTCCAGGGAGGTGTAGGCTAGGTGGATTAGCCCTGGCAAGTATGGGGCTATGAAGCTAGGATTAGGGGGCTGGCACTTCCATTAATTCTCCAGAGGTTTGAAATCACTTGTTCTCAGACATACATGATATTCGGTCACTGATCAAGAAAGGACTCTCTGACCTTGATTTTTAATACCCTTCACAAAAATAACTAACACCCATGTGTCACTAGTTTTAAGTCCAAATGTTTCTAAAAAAAATACTATATGTAAATCAAACTCCTTTCATTACACAATTGTTTCACTGTGTTAAACAGTCAGATTTTGCTCATCTCATCGAGACAACATGCAGTTATGAAAAATGATCCCACTAATTGTCCTTGCCACCTGCTCAAATGAGCAGGTATTATTGTAAATTACAATAGTGGGTGATTAATCTAAATGAGTTTTCACTGTCTGCCTCATTGAAGTTAAATTCATCTCCAAAGTACAGTTAACAATCTTAAGTAAGGTATTAACATCTGCATGCAGCAATCAGTATAACTTACCCTTTATGATGTTGAGATTGCTTATAATGATATTAGCATCTGTTCCGGGGATAACAACAGAAATAGGGAGAACTATTCTTTCCACATATGCAGCAACAGTCTCAAACAGAGTCTTTTCCAAATTCAAATCTGCATGAAAAAATCTCTCTACATGTCGATTATCTAACGTACGAAAGGAAACAAAGAATGAGACACTCATTGTGAAATTATGCAAAGAAAATGGATATGAAGTTCCTCCTCTGAAGTAACACAAAACTGCTCATTGTGAATTGGCAGCACATTTCATTTCCCAATCTATTTTCTTTCATTTTGAAGCCAATTATGAGTTGATGTAAACACTATCGAATTTCACTCGTTGGATGTGACCTTCAATTAAGGGCCCATCTGTAGCGCGTGTGAGAGACCCAAAAGCAGTTTCTGTAGTGAGGTATTCATAAAGCATGAGACAACAAGGTGCAGGGCTGGATGAACACAGCAGGCCAAGCAGCATCATAGGAGCAGAGAGGCTGACGTTTCGGGCCTAGACCCTTCATCAGAAAAGGGGGAGGGGAAGGGGGTCCGGGGGCTCCCTACCTATGTCCGTGACACCACCCACGCCCTCCACCTCTTCCAGAACTTCCAATTCCCCGGTCCCCAACACCTCATCTTTACCATGGACGTCCAGTCCCTCTACACCTGCATTCCCCATGCAGATGGCCTTAAGGCCCTCCGCTTCTTCCTGTCCCGCAGGCCCGACCAGTCCCCCTCCACTGACACCCTCATCCGCTTAGCCGAACTCGTCCTCACACTCAACAACTTCTCTTTCAATTCCTCCCACTTCCTACAGACAAAGGGGGTAGCCATGGGTACCCGCATGGGCCCAAACTACGCCTGCCTCTTTGTAGGTTACGTGGAACAATCCCTCTTCCGTACCTACACCGGCCCTAAACCCCACCTCTTCCTCCGTTACATTGATGACTGTATCGGTGCCGCCTCGTGCTCCCACGAGGAGCTCGAACAGTTCATACACTTCACTAACACCTTCCACCCCAACCTTAAATTTACCTGGACCATCTCTAACACCTCTCTCCCCTTCCTGGACCTCTCTGTCTCCATATCGGGCAACCACCT